GGGCAAGAGGCGCATTTGGCCGCGTTTGCTTGAAGATTCGCTAAAACAGTATACTTGGGTGAGCCCTTTCCTGCGCTGTTTCTTTCACAGGGTTTTGCCCCAAAACTGGCTTTTCTGGCCCTTTCTCCCACCCCCTCGGCCTCCTCCCCCTTTCCTTACGCCTTTATTTCACACAAAATACCCTTTTAAACTCACCTCCCTCCGGGGACACCTCTCTGACAGACACCTCTCAGCCCCACAACCTTCTCTCCTTCACTTCTCCCCTCACAGAAGGCCCATTTTCCCTCACACAACACCTCACAAAATACCCGTTCTCCTCACAATAATGCCCATTTTCCTCACATATCCCCCATTTTACTCACACACCTCACAAAATACCTGTTCTCCTCACAATAACGCCCGTTTTCCTAACACATCACCCATTTTACTCACACAACACCTCACAAAATACCTGTTCCCCTCACAATAACGCCGATTTTCCTAACATATCGCCCATTTTCCTAACATATCACCCATTTTCCTCACACACCACCTCACAAAATATCTGTTCCCCTCACAATAATGCCCGTTTTCCTAACACATCACCCATTTTCCTAACATATCACCCATTTTCCTCACACACCACCTCACAAAATATCTGTTCCCCTCACAATAACACCCATTTCCCTCACATAACACCCATTTTACTCACACACCACCTCACAAAATACCTATTCCCCTCACAATAACACCTATTTCCCTCACATAACACCTGTTTTACTCACACAACACCTCACAAAATACCTGTTCCCCTCACAATAACGCCCATTTTCCTAATATATCACCCAAAAAAGATTAAGGAGGTTAAGCCCTCCCCCCAAAAAAGGAGATTAAACTCCCCAAAGGAGGAGATTAACCTCCCCAAAAGGAGATTAACCCCTCCAAAAAAAGGAGATTACCCCCCCATTACCACATTTAAGCCACATGAGGTGCTCCCCCCATCACTGCCTTTATTTCTCAACTAGATCCCACCTCTTGATGCCCATCTTTCACCCCAAAACCACATTTAAACCACGTGACGCGCCCTCCCGCTGGATTATTGCCTTTATTTCTAAATAAAAGCTAATGTCTAAACGATTTCTGATTTCTAAATGCCCATCTTTCACCCCTAAAACCATTCAAGCCACGTGATGTGCCCTCCCACTTGATTATTTCCTTTATTTCTAAATAATTTCCAAATAATTTCTGATTTCTAAATGATTTCTAACTTCTAAACGCCCATTTTTCACCCCCAAAACCATTTGAGCCACGTGACGCGCCCTCCCGCTCGATTATTGCCGTTATTTCTAAATAATTTCCAATTTCTAAATAACTTCTAATCTCTAAATGCCCATTTTTTACTTTAGCCTAAAAAAAAAACCCTCACTTTCTGGCAATTTTTCACCTAAAAGACACTGTTTCCCTCAAAATGTTTTGCCGTCACCCACAATTTCCACCTGGGATCGTTAATAAAATCACCCCAAAGATTATTTTTCTCTCTTTTCAACTTTACAATGGATGAAGCAAAAAAAATCAAATTTAAGTGTTGCTGAATGAGGGGAAAACAGGAGGAATTTGGCCCTGGCCATGTTTTGGCCCCAAAAAAACAGCTCTAAAGGGGCAAAAATCCTTCCATGGAGTGAAATGACCCATCAGTTCTGTGCTCACAGGGAGCAAAGTGGGGGGAAAAACCTCTTTTTTTATAAAATATGAAGAAATAATTAGTGTGATACCCGCCCAGAGTGCAATATTCACGGAGAGGAGCCGTAGAAATAAGTAAAAAACCCAAACGCTGCTATTTTTAGGGCTCCTTAAAGCATCCAGCTGATGAGTCAGAGAATGACATACCCTTTTTTTAAAAAATGTAATTATAACTCAAAAAAGCCGCTCCCAAGTTTGTTGCGATTCCTGCTCTCGCCACCAGACTGCAGTCGCTTTCCTATTAAAAAAAGATCATAGTTTATTTACTTCCAGGTTATTTCTTTTTTTCCCCCAAAATTTCTAACTTCTAAACGCCCATTTTTCACCCCCAAAACCATTTGAGCCACGTGACGCGCCCTCCCGCTCGATTATTGCCGTTATTTCTAAATAATTTCCAATTTCTAAATAACTTCTAATCTCTAAATGCCCATCTTTCACTTTAGCCTAAAAAAACCCCCTCGCTTTCTGGCAATTATTCACCTAAAAGACACTGTTTCCCTCAAAATGTTTTGCCGTCACCCACAATTTCCACCTGGGATCGTTAATAACATCACCCCAAAGATGATTCACAGGGTTTTGCCCCAAAACTGGCTTTTCTGGCCCTTTCTCCCACCCCCTCGGCCTCCTCCCCCTTTCCTTACGCCTTTATTTCACACAAAATACCCTTTTAAACTCACCTCCCTCCGGGGACACCTCTCTGACAGACACCTCTCAGCCCCACAACCTTCTCTCCTTCACTTCTCCCCTCACAGAAGGCCCATTTTCCCTCACACAACACCTCACAAAATACCCCGCTTTCCTATTAAAAAAAAAACATAGTTTATTTACTTCCAGGTTACTTCTTTTTTTCCCCCCAAAGAAGAGCTTTCCCAGCATCCAGGCGGCTGCATCATCAACATTAAGGAGCTTTTTCACGGCTTAAATTAAAGCTTTATTACAATTAAAGATGCAACATATCACCCATTTTCCTCACACACCACCTCACAAAATATCTGTTCCCCTCACAATAATGCCCGTTTTCCTAACACATCATCCTTTTGAAAATGAGGTTTTTTTGGTGTTTCATTGTGAGGTAACAGCCCTCCTGGGAAAGGGAGATTCCCATTGAACCTTGGAACGATCCAGTTGGAGAAATTAAATTATTATTACCCCAAACCAGCCGGGCAAGAGGCGCATTTGGCCGCCGTTTGCTTGAAGATTCGCTAAAACCGCATACTGGGGTGAGCCCTTTCCTGGGCTGTTTCTTTTGCAGGGTTTTGCCCCCAAAATTGGCTTTTCTGGCCCTTTCTCTCAGCACAAAATACCTATTCCCCTCACAATAACACCTATTTCCCTCACATAACACCTGTTTTACTCACACAACACCTCACAAAATACCTATTCCCTTCACAATAACACCCATTTTCCTCACACTCCCCTCACAGACACCCATTCCCCTCACACCACGCCAATTCCCCTCCCGTAATGCCCATTTCCCTCCTGTAACACCCATTCCCCAACACCCATTTTCCTCACATCACCCATTTTCCTCACACAACACCTCACAAAATACCTGTTCCCCTCACAATAATGCCCATTTTCCTCACATATCCCCCATTTTCCTCACACACCACCTCACAAAATACCTGTTCTCCTCACAATAATGCCCATTTTCCTCACATATCACCCATTTTACTCACACAACACCTCACAAAATACCTGTTCCCCTCACAATAACGTCGATTTTCCTAACATATTGCCCATTTTCCTCACATATCGCCCATTTTCCTTACGTCACCCATTTTCCTCACATCTCACAAAATACCTGTTCCCCTCACAATAACACCCATTTCCCTCACATATCACCCATTTTCCTCACACAACACCTCACAAAATACCTGTTCTCCTCACAATAACGCCCATTTTCTTCACATATCCCCCATTTTCCTCACACACCACCTCACAAAATACCTATTCCCCTCACCATAACACCCATTTCCCTCACGTAACACCCATCCATCGCCCCTTCCTTCCCTCCTGCCCACAGCCTTCCCCTCAGGGATGGCGGCTCCCTCACCCCAAAACCCAGGTCGTGACTCGTCCAACAGCCTCCTGAAAGTCCTGGAACAGCCTTTCCTTCATGGGGAGCCCTCCAAATCTCCCAAACCCATCTATAGGGTGGCCCCACAGCCTCCAGCGAGGGCACAGCAGCCTTTCTCTCAGGTATGGAGCCCCCAAACTCCCCCAAACCCATCCCCATGGTGTCCCCACAGCCTCCTGCGAGGCTGGGAGCATCCTTTCCTTCAGGGACAACCCCCAAAATGCCCCAAACCCATCTGCACAAAATACCTATTCCCCTCACAATAACACTTATTTCCCTCACATAACACCCGTCTATAGGGCAGCCCCACAGAATCCTGCGAGGCTGGGAGAAGCCTTTCCCTCATGGAGAACCCCCAAAACCATCTATGGGGTGGCCCCACATCCTCCTGCGAGGCCGGGAGCAGCGATTCCCCCACAGAAAACCCCCAAATCTTCCTTCATTTCCCCTTTTTTGATGTTTTATCAAGAAGGCCCGTTGACCCTCCCGCCCTCCAGTTCCGCTCCAGCTCAAATTAAGCCCTCTTTAATTGGCTTTAATTGGTCATTGAGGGGCACGGACCAGCTCCTACACAAGTAGGAAATAACGAAGACGGGTCTAACGGATTTATTAAAAAAAGGACCTAAAAATGCCTTTTTTCCCCCTAATTTCTGGGGTGTTTGAGAAGATCTGGAGGAGAAACACCCCCAGGAGGCATCTTAACCACCAACGTCCAATTTTGCGGCCAAAAAAACCAGGAATTCACCCAAGTAGGAAATAAAGAAGCCGAGTCTAACAGATTTATTTAAAAAAGGACCTAAAAATCCCTTTTTTCTTTCCTCATTTCCAGGGTGTTTGAGAAGATCCGGAGGAGAAACACCCCCAGGAGGCTCCATCACCCCCCAGGAACCGACATCGAACCAACTGCGGGGCCGTTTTTCACCCTTTATTTACCAAAAAAACCCACTTTTTTTTTTTTTCCCAAAAAAAGGACTTAAAAATCCCCTTTTTCCCCTCATTTCTGTGGTGCTTGAGACGATCCAGAGGAGAAACACGCACATGAGACTCCATCACCCCTGGGATGTTTAAAAGGCCCCGGGAACTGACATCAAACCACCCAAGGGGCCATGTTTCACCCTTTTTTTTAAAAAAAAGCACCTTTTTCTCTGCATCTGGGCAGCGGATCCCACCCCCCGAGGCTGCCCCTGCAGCCCTAAAAAGAGACAGAAGAGGGAAAAATCACCCCAAAAATAGTCATTCTATTTAACCATGGTCGCACGCGGCGTTTCAGCCTTCTCACCTAGAAAGAAGGTGAGTTTTTAAGCTGGTTTTTTTTCACTTCATTTATGAAATTTTCTTGGTGAACCTTCAAGTCCTTGCCCCGCTCGTCACGTTTGCGGGATAATTAAGCAAATAAAAGTCACTCCACAGCAGAATTGGGGCGGTTCAAGGCGTTTTGTGATGGAGGCAGAGTCACCCTCGCCTTTTCCTTGTGTTTCCAGCGCCCGATTTGGCTTATTTTCAATTTTCATCGCGTTTATTTTATTGGTGGGGGGTTGATTTGCATCAATTAAGACCCCATTTGGGAGGGAAAAGGGAGGGTTTGACGAGTTGAAGGGAAGAAATGGAAAGAAAAGGGGCTCTGTCTCCACCCAGGGCAGAAAAAGGCTGATTTTTTATGTTTCCAGCCCACCAGATTTTCCTGGGTTTGTATCATTTTTGCTGAATATTCACATCCAGCGGAAAATAAATCGCTATTTTGGTTGCTTTTTCACTTTAAAGGACAAATCCTCGGGTCTGGGCCTCCATAAACTCCTCTCCCCGGTGCAGGAGGAAGGTGGGAACATTCTCCTTTGGCTTCAACACTTGTATTTTTAAAAATAATATATATAAAAAAACATTTTTATTGAATGTTGAAGATTCCAAAGGGGAAACCCTTCCGAGGACCACCATGGGGGGGGAGGATTAAACCCCCGCTGACCCCCGGAAGGGCTCGGGGTGGGGGTTCCTGCTCCGCCTCTCGTTGCCGTTTCTTAACGTCTCCAAAAAATCGTGGTTTTGGTGGAGGAAGAGGATGGGATCCAAGTTCTCCGGCGCCAGGAGGGCCCGGCGGTGCTCCAGGAGGCTCTGGCCGGTGGAGAAGGCCCGTTCGGCCAGGACAACGGTGGCCGGGATGGCCAGGAAACGGCGGCTCAGCTGGGCCACGGCCGGGAAGCGGCGCTCGTTGCTCTTCCACCAGTCCAAGGGGTCGGTGCTGCGCTTGCAGAGGGGCTCCACCACGTAGTTCTCCAGTTGCTGGTGGATCTCGGGCATGTTCTCCGTCGGGTCCTTCCCCAGGAGGACGTCGTAGACGCTCTGCGAGCCGGCGTTGGCGCAACAGGCCACTTGGTTGCCCGCCTGAGCTTTAGAATCTGGGTTTGGCCCCCAAAAATGGGCGGCGGGTGGAGATTGGGGGCCACAGACCTGCGACAACATGTTCTTCACCCGCTGGTGGAGCTCGTTTCTGGAGCTGGGGCTGAGGAACCTCATCTCCTTGAAGCGGGGGTCCAAAAAGGAGGCGATAACGGCCGGGCTTTCCAGAAGCTTCTCCTCCTCCGCCAGCCCCCAGCGCTGCCTCAGCTCCATCCCAACGATGGCCACCACCCTCTTGATGACGGCGCTGGCCTCTTCCGCCTGTTGGCCGATGGCGGCGATGACGCCGTGGACGCAAGGCAGGAGGGAGGAGATGGAGACGTTCTGCTCCTCCCGCAGGAAGGCGGTGGCCAACTTGAGGGTCCTCATGACGGGCAGCAGGTCCTGCAGGAGCTTCCACTGGTGGTCGGCCAAGTTCTGGACCCCGGCGGCCCCCTTGGGGTCTTCTTCCAGCACCGCCATGATGGCCCACTTCAGCTCCAAGAGGGTCTCGCACATCTCCACCGTGGTGAGCCACCGCACCCCAGTATCCACCACCAGCTTCAGCTGGGATTTGTTGATGGCTTCCAGCTTGCTGGTCAAGGAGCGGGTGGCTTTGGGGTCCTGCTGGAAGTATCTAACGATGCCACGGGCCACGGCGAGGGCTTCCTCCACCTCTTGGACCTCCAGCCCGGCTTTGACGCAGAGCTGGAGGGTGCGGGCGGCGCAAGGCACCTCGCTCCAGCCGTGTGTCACCTCCGTGGTGGCCCCGTCGTGCATCAGGCAGAAGATGGCTTTGCCCGACAAGCCAAACTGGGCCAGGAGGGCCACCAGCTTCTCCCCCAACATCCCCTGGGCTTTGGCCCGTTGGGTCTCCATCAAGCAGCGGGCCCGGCGCCACTCCCCGTCGATGAAGTTGGCCGTCACGCTCCAGTAGGACTGGTGGAACTGGGAGGTCCAGGACTCCACGCAGAGCACCAGGGCCTGCGCCGTCCCCAGGTACCTCTCCAGCTGCTGCTTGAGGGCACCATAACGGTGCCACAACCCCCCCGCGAGGTGGGCCGGCGACGGGAGGGCGAACCCGGGCTCCAGGTAGCCCAAGAGGAGCCCAAACCCTTTGTCCTTCACCAAGGAGAGAGGGTGCAGGTCACGGAAGATCATCTCCACCACCAGCTCGGTGATGACCTCGCTCCTGGGCTCTGGCGGGTGGTGGAACCCGTTCTCCGGCGTCAACCGGCAGCGCTTCCCGGCGTTCTCCGGCCCGGCCGAGTCGCTTTCGGTGCCTTGGTCGTCCTTGAGGTGGGAGAGGAGGGTGTCGCGGATGCCGTGCTTCCTCACCAGGTGCTCCCTCATGGTGGTGGTGCTGTTGTGGAAGGAGAGCTGCTTCTTGCAGATGTTACACTCCACGTAGGCGTCTCCCAACTTGGCGTAGTAATTCCACACCTTGGACTTGCGCCGGTCCACGGGGAGCCCGGCGACGGGGCCACCGTCACCACCACCACCAACGACCTTCTCCCGCCGCCTCCGGGCTGCCGGCGCCGTGGCGTAGGCGTTGAAGACCATGGGGATCTCCTCTGAGGAGACAAAACCCAAGCCCACCTCAATTTTTCATCTCTTTGGGGCCACCGGATTGAGGGTTTGGTTGAGGTTCCCCTTTTTTGGGGGGAAAGAAGGCCAAAAAGGGTTGCACCTACCTTGTACCGTAGGTGGGACCAGGGGGAGAGGTGGCTCCTCCGTCACCTCCTCCTTGGGCTGCGTCTCGCCACCCACCTCCTCCACTTTGGGGCGTTTTGGCAGGATTTGGGGGTTCCCATCGGCCATGGCCACCTGGAGGGGGGGGGGGGGGGGGGGGGGGGGGGGGGGGGGGAGAAACGAGGCCGGTTCTGGTGATTCCCCACCGGGGCCAAAACAAACAGGGTCCCATCGTGAAACGGGTGCGAGGAAGAGGAGGAGAAGGAGGAAGAAGAGGAGGAGAAAGAGGAAGAGGAGAAGGAGGAAGAGGAGGAGGAGAAGAAGATAGAAGATGAGGAGAAGGAGAAGATAGAAGAGGATGAAGAGGAGAAGGAGGAAGAGGAGAAGAAGATAGAAGAGGATGAGGAGGAGGAAGAGGAGGAGAAGGTAGAAGAGGAGGAGGAGGAGGAAGAGGAGGAGAAGGTAGAAGAGGAGGAGGAGGAGAAGGTAGAAGAGAAGGACAAAGAGGAGAAGGAGAAAGAGGAGGAGGAGGATGAGGAAGAGGAGGAGAAGGAGAAGATAGAAGATGAAGAAAAGGACAAGGTAGAAGAGGAGGAGGAGGAGAAGGTAGAAGAGAAGGACAAAGAGGAGAAGGAGAAAGAGGAGGAGGAGGATGAGGAAGAGGAGGAGAAGGAGAAGATAGAAGATGAAGAAAAGGACAAGGTAGAAGAGGAGGAGGAGGAGGAGAAGGAGGAAGAGGAGGAGAAGGTAGAAGAGGAGGAGGAGAAGGAGGAAAGGGAGTAGGTGGAATAGGAGGAGGAAGAGGAGGAGGAAAAGGTAGAAGAGGAAGAGAAGGAAGAGAAGGAGGAAGAGGAGGAGGAGGAGGAGGAGGAGGAGGAGGAGGAGGAATGGGGGGGGGTCTGCACCAGGACTCACCTCCTCCCCACGGTGCTGCTGGGCCTGGAGGTCAACCAGGAGAACCAGTGAAGGTGAAGCTGGTAATGGTGACCCAGCGATGGTGAACTGGTCAAGGTGAACCCATCAAAGATGACCCAGCAATGGTGAATCTGGTGCCGGTGAACTGGTCAAGACGACCCGGCGATGGTGAATCCGGTGATGGTGAACCAGGTCGAGACGAAGCTGGTGATGGTGAACTGGTGATGGTGAACCTGGTCAAGATGAACCCATCAAAGATGACCCAGCAATGGCGAACTGGTGAAGATGACCTGGCGGTGGTGAACCTGGTGATGGTGAACTGGTGAAGATGACCCAGTGATGGTGAACCTGGTGATGGTGAACTGGTCAAGATGACCCTGGTGATGTTGAACCTGGTGATGGTGAACTGGTGAAGATGACCCAATGATGGTCAACCTGGTGATGATGAACCTGGTGATGGCCAACTGGTGAGGATGACCCAGTGATGGTGAACCTGGTGATGGTGAACTGGTCAAGATGAATCTGGTCAAGATGACCCGGTGATGATGAACCTGGTGATGATCAACTGGTGAAGATGACCCAGTGACAGTCAACCTGGTGATGGTCAACCTGGTGATGGGCCAACTGGTGAAGATGACCCAGTGATGGTCAACCTGGTGATGGTAAACCTGGTGACGATGGCCCAGTGATGGTCAGAACCTGGTGATGGTGAACTGGTCAAGATGACCCTGGTGATGTTGAACCTGGTGATGGTGAACTGGTGAAGATGACCCAATGATGGTCAACCTGGTGATGATGAACCTGGTGATGGCCAACTGGTGAGGATGACCCAGTGATGGTGAACCTGGTGATGGTGAACTGGTCAAGATGAATCTGGTCAAGATGACCCGGTGATGATGAACCTGGTGATGATGAACCTGGTGATGATCAACTGGTGAAGATGACCCAGTGACGGTCAACCTGGTGATGGTCAACCTGGTGATGGGCCAACTGGTGAAGATGACCCAGTGATGGTCAACCTGGTGATGGTAAACCTGGTGACGATGGCCCAGTGATGGTCAGAACCTGGTGATGGTCAACCTGGTCAAGATGAATCCGGTCAAGATGACCCGGTGATGGTCAACCTGGTGATGGTCAACCTGGTGATGGCCAACTGGTCAAGATGACCCAGTGATGGTCAACCTGGTGATGGTGAACCGGTGAAGATGACCCAGTGATGGTGAACCTGGTGATGGTCAACCTGGTGATGGTGAACCTGGTGATGGCCAACTGGTGAAGATGACCCAGTGATGGTCAACCTGGTGATGGCAAACTGGTCAAGATGAACCTGGTGATGGTGAACTGGTGAAGATGACCCAGTGATGGTCAACCTGGTGATGGTCAACCTGGTGATGGGCCAACTGGTGAGGATGACCCAGTGATGGTGAACCGGTCAAGATGAATCTGGTCAAGATGACGCGGTGATGGTGAACCTGGGGATGGTGAACCTGGTGATGGCAAACTGGTCAAGATGACCCAGTGATGGTCAACCTAGTCAAGATGAACCTGGTGATGGTGAACTGGTCAAGATGAACCTGGTGATGGCCAACTGGTGAAGATGACCCAGTGATGGTCAACCTGGTGATGATGAACCTGGTGATGGTCAACCTGGTCAAGATGAATCCAGTCAAGATGACCCGGTGATGGTCAACCCAGTGATGGTCAACCCGGTGATGGTGAACCTGGTGGAGCCGATCCCGGTGACGAAGATCCCGGTGACGCGTGGCTGTCCCCTCGCTGCCAGCCCTCACGGGGGTGGCCGTTGGGGTGGCCTTTGGGGGGACGCCCCCATCTCCCTCCCACCGCCGATGACGTCACCTCTGGGCCCCCTTTTTTAGGCCATTTCGCCCCAAAAATGCTTTCTGCCTCTACTTCTGGGCCTTGGGCCTCCCCGGGGGCTCCCGACCGCCGCCGTTCCCTCCGCCCCGTCCCCGCCGGAGCTCCCACGTCATCGGCAGGCATCAAAACACCCCCAAAAAAAGGCGAAATCGGCCCATTTTGGGGTCTCCCGATGGAGGGGAAATGGCTCCTCCCGCCCGCCAGGGGGCAAACTTCCGCATCCGCCCCCCCCTCCCCTCCTCCTCCCAGCCAATCGGGGCGCCGCGCCCGCGTCACGTGAGAGGGGCGAAGAAGACGAGGCCTCCCCGCCTCCCCCTCCGCCTAGCCAATCGGGACGCCGCGCCCGCGTCACGTGAGAGGGGCGAAGAAGACGAGGCCTCCCCGCCTCCCCCTCCGCCTAGCCAATCGGGACGCCGCGCCCGCGTCACGTGAGAGGGGCGAAGAAGACGAGGCCTCCCCGCCTCCCCCTCCGCCTAGCCAATCGGGAATTTTGGTGTCAGGAGGGTGGTTTTTGGGGCCAGGAAGGTTTTTTTGGGGTTCAAGGTGTTACTATAGGGATCAAAAGCGTTGGTTTTGGGGCCAGGAGGGTAATTTTTGGGGTCAGGAAGGTGTTTTTGGGGCCCAAGCTCTTGCTTTAGGGGTCGAGAGGGTTGGTTTTGGGGCCAGGAGGGTGTTTTTTGGAGTTGAGATGTTGGTTTTAGGGACGAGAGGGTCGGTTTGGGGACAAGATGTTGATTTTGGGGCCAGGACGGTTGTTTTTTGGTGCCAGAAAGGTGGCTTTTGGGGCCAGGAAGGTGATTTTGGGGCCCAAGATGTTGCTTTAGGGGTTGAGAGGGTTAATTTTGGTGCCAGGAGGGTGTTTTTGGCGCCGAGATGTTGGTTTTTGGGGTCAGGACGGTGTTTTTCGGAGCCAGGGTGTTGCTTTAGTGGTGGAGAGGCTTTTTTTTGAGGCCAGGAAGGTGTTTTTGGGGCCCAAGATGTTGGTTTGAGAGGGGCGAAGAGGAAAGCGGCGGCGCCGGCCCCCCCCTCCCACCTCCGCTCGGCCAATCGGGGCGCCGCGCCGGCGTCACGTGAGAGGGGCGCAGGGCGGCTTCACGTCACGGCGGCGGCGGCTGAGGCGGCGGGAGGGGGGGGAAGAAGCCGGAGCCGCCATGGATCAGTCCGGGAAGGAGAAGGAGGCGCTGCAGCTCCTGGCCGAGGCCGACAAGAAGGTCCGCGGCTCCCAGTCCTTCTTCGCCGGGCTCTTCGGGTCAGTGCGGACCCCCCC